TTGCAGTTATCAATCATATAATATCGAACATTATCCAGTGAAAATTTCAGATCAAAATTCAAATAATAACCATGTATCAGTCTACAGATTTAGTGATTCACAAAGAGGATGAGTTTAAATTAGACGTTCTTAAATCGCTATCTGGTTGATTAACATCAACTGACCTCTGAATAGCTGTTTTCCTTGATTCACCGTGACCCGGGGTAGTAGCACCTGTTAGCGTACCAGCTATGAGCAAATAGTGAACCTCAGTAACTATATCAAAATGACCAACAATACATTTTATATCAAAATGACCAACAATACTTTTTATAGCAGAATTACCAACAATACATTTTATAGCAACCTAACCAAAAATTCATTTTATCTGTAGTTGAAGATATGTAATTACGTTTAAAATATTTAGATTCCGGCATTAAATAACTCATAGGGGTTGGTATGCCACTAAACCAAATCAACCAACCAACATGAAAGAATTCTTCCATGATATTAATCCATAAAATATCTTGTAATTTCTTAAAAAATAAAACTGTATTTTAAAATATAAATTCAACGAAACTACAAAATAAAACAAGCATATCACCACCTTGAGTAATTATATCTGAACAAACATTTATATACCCATCTACCATGTATTCAATTGTGAAAGCAGAATAACATACATTTTTATTACTTCAAATCTCCCACGGAAATTTAATTTCTGCATTAAATGATCCATAAGGAGTTGATATGCCGTTAAGCAAACACAAACGAACAAACATCAATGGGCGTGAAAAAGTTTAATGCAAAATCCTACAACCAAACTTGCGGTTCCAATTAAAAGAGGCAATGAAAGGAAAATGAAAACGTCAAGGTAAGATGCAGGGGAGATTTTTTAATAGGACATTGGCGTATCGCTTAAATGGCTAACAGGATTAAAAATTCGGGGTTTGAGTGCATAGACTATTCACCCTCTACTCACAAGATCCTGTTCAATCCAGCAATTTCCTGTTTCAAAACTTAAAGGAAGTTTGGAAAGAGAATAAAGGTTTGAATGAGGTTATCGCCGAGAATTTTGTCAAGGACAAAACATTAGAATTTGCGCCAAATAAAGGTGAAGAATGATGTGTCAAATGCATTTAACAAGTGGACGAATACGTGAAATAGTTGAAGGATCAAAGTCTCCACCCAACCTAGCATAAAGATTATCTTTAAATTAGATTCTATCATGAATATAATCTTAATTACAACAAAAGTCTATTGAGTTAGAAAGTGTCTTTGAAAATTATTAGAAAAAACGTCGACAGTTATATTTTTCAGTTGCTTTAAAGTTATCAATATAAGCTTAATTTGGTGTAAGATGAAAAGTATGTGCTATCCAGTGAGGATCGAACTCACGATGAGACTAGAATGTTTCATGACGAAACGTTGCTTTGGCTTAATTATTTAGTAAGTTTCGTTTAATTAGGCACAAGGTTACAAATGTTGAGCACTCATTAAAATCTGTCTTGCCGCAGAAGTAATTAACTACGTGTTTAACCATAGATCAACCAACTGGTTTGTGGCAGGCGAGATTGGGGTGGCGTCGGAGAATTTATTAAAAGCTAAACATCAGCCTTTTTTTTCCGGAGATTGAAACGGAATCATATGTTACTGTCAAATAATAATAATAACAATAATTTTATTTTATTTTATTTTATTTTATTTCTGGTGTATACTCATTTCTTTCCTGGTTCCAACCATAGACCTAAGCCCAGAAATGACATCATGACCTTTTCCACAGATCATCTTTTGAAAAAAAACAAACACCTAAGATCAAATATATTTTATATAGACAGAGGCACCTCAAAGGCGTGGGCTTCACTTGTGGGTATAACACCTTGCATTTCTTTAAGGTATGGGATAACCAAGAAGCTCCTCAATCAGTGTACTTGAACTCTTTCCATCTGCATTTTGGGCTAACATAATTTTTCAGTATGTGTGCCTTGGTAATTTCTAGTTCGCAAGCATTGGTCCTGTGCAGCACGAATAAAACCCTGCACTACGTAAACACTGAGGGAAACGGGGTTTGTCTACTTCAGATTGTTTGGTCCGGACAGAATATTGACCATTATCCTGCCATCGTTTCTGTATCTGGTCGACTGCATTTGCCTTTGCTTTCATCTTGAAGGTTTTTGCATTCAGTGTATTATATTTGCATTCCTTTACCCACTTGAAACTCCATTCTTGTTGGCTTCTTTTATTATTGAATAAAATTTCTTACTTCTTGCATGTTCTTCGACACAGATCATCATCCATCTTCTGTAGTTTTCAGGTGTCTTTTAAGGCCGATTGATGTAGTTTGTAAGACTGTTCTAGTTGAACTAATCCTCTGCCTCCTTTGGATCTGGGCACATACAGATGATGATGTATGCGGTGGGTCCTTTTGGCATCCATTCGCTTAATCTATGGTTCAGTTAAGGATGTTGAAATTGTATTGCACCATAGGTACAGCCAAGAAGTTTATGGCTGATATTCCGTTTTTTGAATTCAACATGGTATTCAATACCAGACACACACACACACACACGTCTGTTGCATTTTTTCTTACTTTTTCAAATCTATTACATTCATTTACGTGCTTATACTCTTGAGAAAGGTATGAATCTTCTTCTTCTCCTTCCAGCTATAGCTAAATAGCAGAACAGACCGGGTTCTATAGCCTTGGATGGCAACACCAGACACACACGTATGTAGAAATCTTCTCTTTCATTTTGGTATGCTATATTCTATGACCTTCGCTGACTCCTAGGTATTTATATATTTCTTCTTGTTCCGGTTCCCCTAAACTTTAGAACAAAATGTAGATCTATTGAGTGTGTTTCTGTAAGTCTCCCTTTCTTGAATGTTACTTTTGCAAATTTTATCTAATCGGAAATCCATCTCTGTGTCGTCAGTGAAATATTTTATAGTATTGAGGAGGCCCTTCAACTCATTGTCGTCTTTGGCAAACAGTTTGATATCATCCATGTAGAATAGTTGATTAAACACTTTTTCTTTTTACTTTCTATCCAGAGGTATTACTGTTTAATTCATGCGAAAGGGGGATTAAGGGCAGATAGAACAGAAGGGGTAACACGGAGTCTTCTTGAATAACTCCTCGTCGGATATTCAAATAATTGGAAGTGGTAAACTTTGGAGGCACCGTAGAGTAATGGATAGCGGCTCGGCTAGAGGAATCGGGGAGCCGAGTTTGAATTACTGCCGAATCCATTACATTCATTTACGTGCTAATACTTTTGAGAAAGGTATGGATCCTCTTCTCCTTCCAGTTATGGCTAAATAGCAGAACAGACCGTGTTCTTTAGTCTTGGATGGCAACACCAGACGCACACGTATGTAGGACTGTTTTCTTACTTTCTCCTTCATTTCAGTATGTTATATTCCATGGCCTTCGCTGACTCCTAGGTATTTATATGTTTCTTCTTGTTTCAGTTCCTCAATCTTTATGACAAAATCTATATGTATTGAGTATGTTTCTGCAATTCTCCCTTTCTTGAATGTCACTTTTGCATATTTATCCAATCCGAAATCCATATCTTCGTCGTCACTGAAACATTTTATAGTATTGAAGAAGGCCTTCAACGCATTGTCGTCTTTGACGAAGAGTTTGAGATCATCCATGTAGAGTAGGTTATTGAATAATTTCTACTTTACTTTGTATCCATAACTTTTATTGTTTAGTTCATGTGTAAGGCAGATTAAGGACAGACAAAACAGAAGGGGTGACAGGGAGTGTCCATGAAAGATTCCTCGTCGGATATTCAGGCGATCGAAGGTGGCAGTGCCTCTAGTGCGATTTAGATATAATGTAGTTTTCTATATCCCCATATCCCTGTATTTAAGGAAATTTTCTATCACCGAACAGACTTTGTACATTTCCAAAGTCTTAAGGATCCAAGACTGTGGCACACTATCAAAAGCTTTACGGTAAACTATCCATGCTGTGCTGAGATTTCTACCTCTTTTCCTGCAATTTTGAAGGATCATTTTGTTTATCAATAAATGTACTCTCCAACAGGGTTCGAACCTGTGTCCACCTTTGTAGGAGAAACTACCGTTTGATCTAGCATGCTTTAAACCTATCAGCCACAGAATGCGTCAGAGCCCATCAAAGTTCTATTTCCTCTTTTTACGAGGCGTTTATTTCAAACACGAGTATCCATTAAAATAATGTTTGTATAAGGAAAATATTGAATTAAGAATAAATTCGATAATTCTATAAAAATTGCTTTGTTTACGTTTCGGATACGAAACTAAGCAGCTATGGGCTTTCAAGAAAATCATCTCAACGAGGGGATGTGTATCCCATAAACGGGAAAATAGAACGTTGCTGGTCTATGAGGCTATCTATGAACACTTTTCCGTTGTTAAGAATAGTGGACTGATACACACTGTTTAAAATAAAAACAAAAAACAGGCGTTTATTAAAAATAAGACTAAGCATCCGACTCAGAGTCATTTCGTCCTTTAGATCTTCACTGGACATCGAGTCCTTTCGTCCTATAGATCTTCATTGAACTAAGTGTCATTTCGATCTTTAGGTCTTCATCGGACACTGAGTCATTTCGTCCTTTAGTTCTTTATCGGAGTCCGAATCCTTTCGTCCTTTAGGTTTCATCGGCGTTGTATGAAGTCCTAGAGGACGAAATGCGTCCCTCGGAAACCTTTCCCATTTTGTCATAGCTTTGCCGTAAAATGTTTCTTGATGTATATAAACTTAGACGTCATTTTACTATGTACAATTATGTAATATCAGTCCTCCTATAGGTCAATGAACGCTGAACAATTTATAGGATATTTAAGTTAATAAATCCCAAACAAGCGTTTATTAAACATACAGGTATCCACTAAAATAACGCTTGATGTAATAAAAATGTCGGATTAAAATTATATCCATTAATTCTTTAGAATTTCCTCGGAAATTTATAAATTATTTCTCTATGATTCGGATCCTATCTTCATTTGTCTTGACTGATTGCTTACGATCACATCACATTGAAACAGCAGTTCTCGGACGATCAACCGGAGTTAAGCAACGCCGGGCCTGGTCAGTACCTAGATGGGTGACCGTTTGTGAATACCAGGTGCTATAAGCTTGTATGTCTGAGTCTTGTTAGGAATAATGTCTCGGAATTTGAAATCGGAGAATCGAAGTTCCAACTGTAGGCGGGTTCGTCATATTCACTAACACGCAAATATACTTGGAAAAGGTATGTATCCCCCCCAGCTATGATTTAATTAGTAGGACAAGTATCAGGAAATAGTTATCATCCCCAAGAAATTATTACAATCTAAAACTATTTTATGGCTTTAAATAACCTGCAAAAGGTTGATAAAGCGTAAAAACAGATCAGTCAATCAATCTTTACGATGACTGAGTTCCTGTCTGCTGAAGATGGAATGTAAGAATGGCGTTGAATCTGGAGATGTCTTATACGTTTTGGCTTACTCTTTAAAAAGAACCCCATGGATATAGCATGCGATTGGGATGGAAACACATTATCAGTGACTTGCAAGAGAAGAATGCTAACTATTTCTCTGTGTCAATAACCAGTAAGATTTTAGTCATGCTCAAATTATGTCTGTTGATGTTTACCTTCTTATGTTTAGTCTATTGGAAGACCACCACAGTGACACACACTAAAAGGATAGGATTTCTTCCGCGGAGAATTTATGGTTTTCAGCAGGAGAATAAGCCCAAGATGTGTGCTACAAATTAGAGACGTCAAAACTAACCAAGCAGAGAAGAGGGTGTGAAGAATGGTAAAAAAAAAAAGACAAACCTTAGTGAAAGTTATCAAGGATAGGAATTTGTGGAGAACTATTAACGCCCACGACCTGACGGGGCACATCACATGTAAGAAGAAGACACGAGAAGATTACTTTAGCTGTAGACTTAATTTGGACTGTCATTTACTAAGCTAGTGTTTTGGGGAATTTTTCACGTGCAGACATAATGTTTGGTTACCAGGATGTGGACTACGATTTAGAGATATCAAAATAGAACAACTATAGAAGCTTAAATATCTGGGAAATTCTTTAACAGATGACGGAAAATATGACACTGAAATTCGAAAGCGCTTTGGAAAAGCAAACGATATCTTCCAAAAACTAAAGCATCCGACTCGGAGTTTTTTGTCCTTTAGGTCTTCATCGGACCGTGTCCTTTCGTCTTTCATTATTTAGGTATTTATCGGACTCTGAGTCCTTTCGTCCTTTAGGTCTTCATCAGACCTAGAGTCCTCTTGTTCTTTAGGTTTTCATCGGACACTGAATCCTTCCAAAAACTAAGCATCCGACTCGGAATTTTTTCGTCATTTAGGTCTTCGTCGGACGCTGAGTTCTTTTGTCCTTTAGGTCTTCATTGGACTCTGAGTCCTTTCCTCTTTTAGGTCTTCATTGGAGCCCGAGTCCTTTCGTCATTTAGGTCTTCATCGGCGTCCGAGTCCTTTCGTCATTTAGGTCTTCGTCGGAGTCCGAGTCCTTTCCTCTTTTAGGTCTTCATTGGAGCCCGAGTTCTTTCCTCTTTTAGGTCTTCATCGGCGTCCGAGTCCTTTCGTCATTTAGGTCTTCATCGGTGTCCGAGTCCTTTCGTCATTTAGGTCTTCATCGGCGTCCGAGTCCTTTCGTCATTTAGGTCTTCATCGGCGTCCGAGTCCTTTCGTCCTTTTGGTCTTCATCGGAGTCCGAGTCCTTTCGTCATTTAGGTCTTCATCGGCGTCCGAGTTCTTTCGTCATTTAGGTCTTCATCGGCGTCCGAGTCCTTTCGTCCTTTTGGTCTTCATCGGAGTCCGAGTCCTTTCGTCATTTAGGTCTTCATCGGCGTCCGAGTCCTTTCGTCCTTTTTGTCTTCATCGGAGTCCGAGTCCTTTCCTCTTTTAGGTCTTCATTGGAGCCCGAGTTCTTTCCTCTTTTAGGTCTTCATCGGCGTCCGAGTCCTTTCGTCATTTAGGTCTTCATCGGAGTCCGAGTCCTTTCGTCATTTAGGTCTTCATTGGAGTCCGAGTCCTTTCATCATTTAGGTCTTCATTGGAGCCCGAGTCCTTTCCTCTTTTAGGTCTTCATTGGAGCCCGAGTTCTTTCCTCTTTTAGGTTTTTATCGGCGTCCGAGTCCTTTCGTCATTTAGGTCTTCATCGGAGTCCGAGTTCTTTCGTCCTTTTGGTCTTCATTGGAATTCTATTTCCTCTTTTAGTCCTATAGTACCTTTCGTCATTTAGTCTCATCGGAAACCTTTCCTTTCGTTTTGTCATATCTTTTCCGTAAAATTTTTGTAAATGTATAAAAACTTAGATATCGTTTTACTATCTACAGTTATGTAATATCAGTCCTCCGATAGGTCAATGAACGCTGAACAATTTTCTTACAGTTGAAGTCAGGCAACACAGATGTAATTCTACAAAAGGATGCTGAGTATACTATGGATTTGGCATGTAAGCAACGAAGATATTCGAAGGAAAATGAAAACAAAAATGACACATATACTTAAAGAGACAGTGGAAATTTATGGAATATTTAAGGAAATAAATTAACACTCACAAAACATTGAAGTCCAGGAAGCCAGAAGGAAACAGTGCGTAATGTATCTAACCAATATGTGTGAATGGTTGGCAGAGCTGAGACAAAAACGGATGGTAAAGAGTAAAGCGTTGCTTAGATCTACAAAGATCAGGAAGTCGTGGTGATCCATGATCACCAATGTTCTGAAAACACGCCACATAAATGAACATTGGTTGACACAATATCACAGAATAGAGCGTCCCTTAAATATTCCAACTCTACAAGCAAATGGTTGAGCAAGAATAGAATGTTAAGTCGTCCAGGCATTGAATATTTCTGCCACATATGGTCCGCTGTTCCTGTTATATATTTAGAAATCCTTGATAAAATTCAAAAAAAGAATCAGCAATATTATTGGTCCTTCTCGGCTTCAGCCATTTTCTCCACCGTCGTAATGTTGATTCGCTGTGTCTTTTCTAAAAAATATTTTTACAGTAATTGTTCTGATGAACTTTCCGCTATGAATGTAAGCGCTGTACTAGATTGGCCACACGATCTTATCAATAGTTGAACTGACTAGATGCAAAATACTTTCTATGTTAGCAGTTTATTTTCTGGCACTTCTCGCTTGTGGAACTCTCTTCCCAGCCTACTTTGACTATCAAAAAATTAAATGCAATGTCGATCTTTATCTACTGTCTTCAAGATTACCCTTGAATTGTTCTCGCACCTTAAGTTTTATTTGTTTTTGATTCTTTTACACTCAGTAACCTCTTGTGTCTTAGTGGCTTTATTCTCTTGCATGGGTGGAATTATTAAAACCCCTATAGGTCTGCAATAGGTGTCTTAAAAAATTCACAATAAAATGAAGATAAGTCGATCAACTGGGAAATAGTTGATAATTAATATGCTCCAATCAAATTCAGTTTAATTGTTTATAGATCGTTTAATTAGAACAGAACCGAATCGACTAAGTAAATGTCTCTGATGAGAACGCATATAGAAGACGTTTTGTGGCATCTGACATTATAATTGCATCGAGTAGATAATTAATTTCATTGTTTTTTTATTGGTAATAAAGAGACCATTGATTGTCAAACTCTGTTCTATTCCAAAACCAAACGCCAATTGATTAACACCTGCGATCAGGTATTCCCGAATAAATTAGCTAGTGTCAGACGACTCAATTTACAATGCATTCATTTTGTCATTGATTATTATTCTCCAGGGTCCTTTCAACACACACACACACACGCACACGAAAAAAAAAGTTAAAGTCTCCAGAATTTATGCACTCTTTGTGTGACCATTTAACTTGGGTATTTTAATCTAAGATGATGTTAATCTTGAAGAGTATCAATTGGTTAAGAACTTTGAATGCCCTATTTTTAGTATCGCTCCTTATACAGTGTTCATGACAAAATTGCATTAGAGTTATGAATAGCCGCAGATCTTCTTCTTCTATGTATTGTCTTCCTTCAGAACATTAGCGGTAATGACTCTCCACAATGTCCTTTGTAGCTCTTAATGAATTTGGTCTTTATGTTATCTCTCTCTCAAACACTGCTCTGGTATCTATTCACTCAAGCTCTCATAAGGTTGTTCATAGTTTGTTTGCCTCTGAGACTCTTGTCTTCAATCTGTCCTGTGAGCATAACAATTTCCAAACCCTCTTTTCTCATTATGTGACGTAGAATTGTCTACTGTCTCTTCCTGGAGTCCTTTTTTCCATATTGTTCTTTAATGGAAATCCGAAATCGATACCTTTTTATTCTTGATCTGTAAGCCACGATGAGTAGATAAAATGACAATATAAGCTACATCCGTTAACGTTGGACCAACGCCATCAGTTGAAACGCCAATCGACCTACACATGGAAGCCATATGATTGGTGCTTTTAATTCATAAATTATTCTTCAGTTAATTTGGAGCACACCCGCCTACTTTTCAGGGCGCATTAATGCACCCGAGCTCACCAGTTGAGAAACGCAGGCTTAGATAGATGAACACTTAAAATCCGCGGGTACCGTAAGCAGTTTCCGGCGTAAAATATTATTTGTTTATTTATAATTGTCTTCATAGGCATCTCAGTGATGGTAATGGTATTGGCCATTTTCTTTATAAGGAATCATTTGGCATTCATTGCCAGTCCAAGTGTTGGTTTGAATTTATAAAATGTTTCACATAAAAAAAAAATCAGGTAAATAGATTTCTCCAGCCCAGTAGCTGTTACCGCTTTTTCCACTATTGATGGAGGATTTCTTCTCAAACTTTTATTTAAAGTAGTGTGGATCGTTAGCACCTTCATTAAGTCATCGTTTTCTTTTCGTGTTACATGCGCTATTCATTTTAGCTGTTGTTGCTGTTGAAAGTCTTCAAGTGATGTGTTTTTTGTTATTTGGTAAAGTTCTTTGTTTGGGATTATGTAATCCGAGTCCACCAGGCTCGACAAAGTACGATCCTCAATAGGACCTACAGGCTTCATTCGATAGAAACCATTTTTAATCATTGATCTGACAAAACGGTTGTATACAGCAGAGAGTTTAGATTGCTGTGGGTTTGTTGCCATCCGTGACATCCGCATGAAAGTCTCGA